ATGAAAGCCTTCGACAATACATATTCTCCCATTAATTTGTGTAGGAGGTGCTAATTGCTGCTATGCCTTAGACAGCAAAATATCTACATGGGTCTGAAGAAGCCTATAGCATGTAATTAAAATACTTGAACTATTTAAATTACTTTTACAACGAAGTACTTTTCCTAGCACCTTAGGGCTTACCCCTCTTTTTCTGGCCACAGATATTCCACTCTCTCATTCTCAACTTTACCCCCTTGTCTCTAAATATCTTTGTGGTGTGGATAAGGCTGCCCTATTTTACAGGGCTCCTGAATGGACGCTGAGGCCATTGTTTGAGACACTAGAATCTCTATAAAAGTATTATTCTTATCTAAAGACCAGGTGTGGGGTGTCATATTTATCTTTTATTTCTTGTCTCCAGAATATAAGAGTTACAAGAAATTGTTCACAATTACAACCCAATTATTTCTTACCCGCTGGGGAACAACAGATTAAAAAACAATGGCAAATACACATACACCAGTTATAAGAATAAATACCAATTAAAAAGGACAATCAGTTGTAAAAATCTTAATATTAATACAAAAAGCATACATATTAAAAACAATAAATTCAAACACCATGGTTGAGCTTTAACCTTTCTAACTTCCATGTCTTGGCTTTGGTGTTGAAGTTTGTAATGGTCCTTTTATACTGTCTGTTGCTTCCTGCTATAATCCTCTCCCTAATCTATTACCCAAACAAGCAAGGTAGCAGTTTTGATCTCACTTGGAGTGTTAACGTCAGCAGTAATCGCTTTTCGCCATCAGAATGGCTTTCAGTATTGCAAAGGCAGAATAATTGCAATTACTATAAGTTTCTGTCAAATGTCCCATAATGGAACTTATATGAGGCATCAATACATAGTACTCAGTAAATAAATAAGCTTTATATTCAGTCCAAGATGTGAGAGTGTAAACAATTAAGACAAACTGATTATTAATGTCAGTTCTTTACTCATAATTCCCATGTGCCTAGTGATTTGCTGCCTTTTAAACCTTGCTGCATGTGGTCATGACAGGTGGGGATCCAAGGCTGAGAAGCAATTTGATCAATGTCTATCACTGATGTATAATTTGAGTCTGGAATTAAAGCAACACATGAAACAGTGATATACATTTATCCACTGACATCTAGACATAGATTTTCTATAAAAAAGTAAGAATATGGCTATTACTACATAGGTTACAGTTTGAGAGAGCTTGGTTACTATGGACAAACATAAACATGCCCCTGGAAAATCCATTATGAGAAAATCTCTCTATATATAATATACATAAATAGCAGTTGCAGTGGGGTGAAGGGAAAGGAAGCTGGCTTATGATGATGACACTAGAGAGGGAGGAGTTAAGCAAAGCTCAATTGTTCTGATTTCATAATGATCTTTTCTTCCTTCGTGCTATGATCTAATTCCCCTTTCCTTCCGCCTTCATTTTCTTTAAAAAAGGAACAAAAGAAAATAAGAAGATCTGATAGGATGACGTCTAGGAATCCTGTGATGGTAACCTCATACATTTAAACAGGAATATATGGACTTCATTCGGGGGGGGGGGACCCAAACAACTGCTGACTTGAGCCATTCAGTGCCAGACACAGAAAGTCAAGTCAGGAATTTCAAGGGTAACACTCCATTTATGGAATGCATTGCCCTACTTTGGCCTAAGTCATGGCCACTTTAGTGCCAAGTCTTTGCATCCTCCCAGACATTTTACATCTTAGTATACAATTATTTTGTTGGCTTAAAAAACAACAACATTGACTTCTGATGTTGCTGTGTTTTTATGTTTTGCTGTTGGTTTTATCTCGATTTTTTAAATTAATATATAGCACTGAATTTATTATATAGGACAGAACACTTTTCAGTGAGTGGTCTACAGCTATAATATATACATACAAATGTGTGTGTATATGTAAGTCACCTGTAGACTTCTGCAATGCTATGAATTTCATAAGATTTCTTAGCCAAGAAATACCCAAGAGCGGTTTTGCCAGTCCTTCCTCTAATATATAACCTTCATCACTTACATATGTGTGTGTATATGTAAGTCACCTGTAGACTTATGCAATGCTATGAATTTCATAAGATTTCTTAGCCAAGAAATACCCAAGAGCGGTTTTGCCAGTCCTTCCTCTAATATATAACCTTCATCACTTAGTCTTCATTGATAGTTTCCCATCCACCCCGGTGGCRCAGTGGGYTAAACCCCTGTGCCGGCAGGACTGAAGACCGACAGGTCGCCGGTTCGAATCYGGGGAGAGGCGGATGAGCTCCCTCTATCAATTCCAGCTCCTCATGTGGGGACATGAGAGAAGCCTCCCACAAGGATGATAAAAAYATCAAAATCATCCAGGCGTCCCCTGGGCAACATCCTTACAGACGGCCAATTCTCTCACACCAGAAGCRACTTGCAGTTTCTCAAGTCGCTCCTGACACGACAAAAAAATAAATAAATCCAAGTACTAACCAATGCCAATCTTTCTTAGCTTCCAAGATCAGACCAAATCTGGTACCTTTAGAGCAGGGGTCCTCAAACTTTTTAAACATAGGGCCAGGTCACAATCCCTCAAACTGTTGGAGGGCCAGATTATAA